TCTGTGGCTTAACTTAGATATTAGCACTCTTTATAGATGATCGAATCGCCTCATTTAAACTTCAGGCGTGTTCAGGTTTAATATAACCTTTCAGAGTGGACTAGCCGATATCAGAATGACGATGTCACAAGACAAAAAGTGTGAATGGTTCTACTGCTTTTTGTGCGAGTGTTGTGAAGTTTACATCGATAAAACAGATAACGCCATCGACAAAAGAAGAAAACCACATGCGCACCCTCGCTGGATGTAAGAGTACTGATTTAATGAAAAAGGCACTGCACAAAGACGATGTGGAAAGAAGCAAGCCAAGTAATTGGTTATCAGAGCAGAATTTTCTGGTTACCAAAGCAAAACGTGAAAACATCCCAGCGGTTGCGTGAAAACCAAGAAAAATTGGGCTGAAATGAGTTTGAAATGGATCAGACAATTTCGATGACCTGTCCCTACCGAGGATCTATCCTTTAGGATCACGGAGGCTGAAGAGTCAGTCTCTCCAGCGTTCCCGATCATGTGTCAGTGTTTTAGCTTTGGATAACACTAGTCTGGACCAGAGTCCTTCCATATTTTTGGCCGTCGCCGGGGTTTTCGGCCAGTTGGTTGGGCAAGTAGTAGCTGTTTTGTTTTCCTTTCTGAAAGCATTCACAAGACGTGCATAATTCATCTCTTTCTAAATAACCTGGTATATGGCGAAACTGTGGTGATAGATGCTTCTGCCTGGCCTGAAGCTACGCAGCCATTCTTAGTCATTAGAGTCAGTTATTCCGCGGCATCTCCTTTCTAAAACATTTGCGTATACTTTTTCCAGTATTTCCAGTAAGGTAATGCACCGATAACTGTGGCACTCAATACGGTCACCCTTCTTCAGCAAGAATTCTAAAATCCCCTTCTCCAAATTAACTAGTATCATCCCCGTAACCGTTCCATTTTCACAGGCGCTTGTTAACCTCAACATGCTTTGTTCACTTGAAGCATTTCAAAGCGGTTTTCATCGATTCCTGTAGCTTTGCTACTTTTCAAACATTTTACAGCTTCTGCGACTGCACCGGCTGAGAAAATAATATCCGTTGCCTGCTGCACTTTAGACGAGTCTTCCTACGGTGGCTTGTACTTAACGGTGTTCCTCAATGAAATTTTTCCATCGCTGAAGTATGTCTTCATCCATGGTAAAAGGGCGTCCGGACTTGTCTTTTAGGACTTCTAAACTGCCCTTTTTTCCTTCTCGGAGGCATTTCCTCTGTCAGAGTACCATTTTTGGCGTTTGGAAATTCCACTCCAGCACCTCACCTAGGAATCTGTTTTTGCTGCCGCCTTGCGCGGTTCTTCATACAGCATTCGAATTGAATGGATTTTGCTACCAGGCCATTATATAGCTTGGGTGACGCCCAGTGAACCTCTCATTTCCTTCAGAAAATCCGTTTCTGACCCCCAGGCGATGGGCCAATCCGTTTTAAGCCACAGCGTTCGGCAGCCCCAAGTAAGCCGCTCTTAATGGACCTCCACTCGGTTTCCACGTCGTCATCACCGGGATCTGTTCAAACCGTCTTGCGATGTTGTTGGCAAGTTTCTCTTCGTTTCCTTTGAACATAATGTTTCCTATATGATTCTCTGGTTTCCTGTTCCGCCAGGTCTTTGAATTGTACTTATCTTTTGCACTTGACGATGCCAACAACAATTTCATTATCAGTTGTCAGGTCTGCACCTCTGTTAGCGTGAAGACAGAGCGGTACAGAGCATCGTAAATCACACAATACGATTATCTCATCTATCATCTACTGCTCATTACATGCTTCCCTATATCAGGCATACTTAGGTTTCGCAAAGACTTAGCAGGTTTCGATCCTCAGAGAATAAGTTGCTAACCAATCGGATAGCTTCCCCCGTAGACGTTCAGTTTCTAAAGCGCCGGCACTTCGTTGAAGAGTTTCCATGTATATCAAATCATTACTTTGCGGCCTCATAAAACTCCTAGCTTCTGCTCTCACCCTCTGAGTTAGATGTTCCAATTTCCGACTGTCAGTTCATTGTTGGTACCGTTCCATTGGACCCTTATTCGACGTGCTGCAGTGGCATCGCAGTTTGTGTCTTTCCACCGTCCATAACTGGTAGCGGCTTCTTT